AATAATAATCCTGATGCTCTATGTGTTTAAAGTTTTTTTTGCTGCTTTAAAAAAATTGTTTTTTGCATTATCTTGATAAAGTGTAGGGAATTGTTATGCTGAGTATTTAAACTGTGATGCTAATGATTTCACCTGGTGTTATACTGTTAATTGGCCACTACTGTTTCAAGCCCACATCTGTGTCTGAGGCAAGAACCATTAGCTGCTGCAATAATGTTTTTATGAAAGTGTGCAAGTTGTTTTTACAAATAAATCATGTTGATTATTGGCCCTCCAAACACTTTTTGCATCTAAACTGATGTATAAATGTACTATTTGAGGGGGGAAAAGTCAACATATGTACATCTATCTGCATATTCCTTAAAGCTGTAGGGCCACCAGTAAGAAGCTCAGTGAAATAATAATGTATATAATATAATATATATATATGTATAATATAAATATAATCAGCATGTGGGGTAAACATGGTTTATTCACATAAATATGCAAATAAAGCAGTAAAAATACATTTATACCCTGAAAATTTGCAGACATTTTCTAAAGGCTTGATGCAATGTAAAAGACACCTACTATGACCGTGAGCAGATTTTTCTGGATTTTTAAAACTATGAATTATCAATGTACAGAGGAAAATATGTAGAAGTAAATAGAGTTTCTCAATCTTCTACGTAGTCTATCTTGATTAATGGGAAAACCTGTTATTTCCAGAAATAATTGTCTGTTTTGGTTTCCATGTCTTGACTCAATTATTAAGTTTGTCAGCTGTCTGTTTTTCTTTCTCCAGAAAGTGGCAGTTAGAGTGTGACTGTTTTTCTCACAAGAGAGAATCTCAGTGGTTTTTACAGTCCATTAAAGCACATCAGCTTTGACACATGTTGATAGGGAGGCATTTTTCAGTGTAATGGCTACCACCACAGGTCTAAGGCTGTCATCCTATGTCACATTCTGATTGAAATCATGAAGGGAGCCGCTTTTAGCACCTGGGCTACCGATGAGTGATCTCATGTTGTGCTTGGTTGTTGTTCTGTGTGGAAGACAGTCATTTTAAAAACACATTTCCTTATGATTTGGGGTTTCTAAATATGGCATGATAGAATTTCTTGGTGTCTTGGTGTGAGAGAGGTAACCTAAATGAGTCAGTTGTCATGGCAACTGATTCCATGAACCTAACCTGCTCACTGGCAGGTTTTTCCAAAGCTAGCTTCTCTCATGCTTCTGTCTCACGCAGCTGTGAAACCATTTCATTTTTTTATTGTGACCTTCCAAAACACAAATTAATTTTCTGTTGTGTTTTTCTTTTCTGATTTGGAATATTGTGTTCCCCACTGTCACACTATTTACAAATCAATAAAAAAATCTGATATTGCAAACAGATTGAATATGCTAATTTTAGAACATTGAGTGATCAGGTGCATAACACTGTCACTCAAAATGTCTGTTCTAGTACACAAAAACAGTTTCCCATATCAGCGTTAATTCACGATCAACTCACAGTTCATTTCTGGGCCTTTCTTTAAAAGTAACTACATTAAAAAAAAGTTTCAGTTTCAAATATCTTCAAATAACACATTTCAGTCTTGGAAATAAAGAAATAAATGTCTTTAGAAGTATGAATACTTTCATTGCTAACTTTACTTAATTGGTCTTTCTGACATCTAAATGTGCTTTATAGACATGATATATCAAGAAGCAACAAACCTCTTAAACAATCACTTTTATAAATTGATTTCGTTTTTTCTCCTTTTTATCATTCTGTCTTCAACTACACTAATATGTATAGGTGAATATTTTGTTTTTAATTGTTCCCATCCCGAGCTTGAAAAGATATGAAAGTGTTGGCTCGTTTGTACCTGTTTGCGTCACTTAAATTAAGATTTTAAATAAATGTTTTCTATCATCTTAACCAAATGTAACTGTGTTGCCTTGCCTAACTTGGGTAAAACAAATCAAACCTTATATGTATTTCAATATAATCTTAAAGTTGAGCCTTTACAAAATTTATCTTTTTTTATGAAATTTGGGTGAATTTGATCATGATAAGGCAGTCAATAAATACTCTTTCTGGCAGATGTTTAGGCATAAAATGCTGAATACAGATTTTTGAGTATTGGCATTTAGTTCATGGCATTTATTACAAAAAACATTGCAACGAAAGTAAGTCTGAATGTATCTGTGCCTTTTATTGGCCATTATGATGTGATAAGTGTAAAACTATCACATTAGTTGCATCACTAGATTATGGGTAGTATGTGTCTGTAAGGATCAGTTGATCAGTTTATGTTCTGCTAAATATGTTGTTTTATCTATCGTGGAGTCAGAGCACATGAGAATTGTTCGGGTATATATGCATATGGCTGTAATCATGTAGGGCTTCTTAAGGCATGCACAATACTGTACACTATAATTACAATCAACACTCTAAAGAGCTGTTGAAGATGACATTTAACCCTGCTGTTGTTTTTATAGAGAAATACTTGCAGTTCCATATAGAACTGGAAAATAGTCAGTTGTTTGACATTATACATTTTAATTGTTTTGTGTCATGCTTACAAATCATGACCAAGCTTTTGACCAAATTGTGGGTTTAACCTCTCCATTTATTTGTCAACATTCGCAAGATGTACATAATATGCACAAACATGTATCTACAATATTGCTGCTCATCTCCCTTGCTGGGAAAAGTTATATAGTTCATAGTGCCTCTCTGTTACTCAAAACTAAAAGAGTTTTCTGACTGTAACCTGTTTGTAAAACTTTAGAGAAGTGATCCTTTTAATCTCAGTTTTTAAAGTAAGGCATTAACATTTATTAAAACAGATTCTTCTTGAATGTCACATAAGAGATTAAGATGTTTTCCTGTCTTATTTATTTTTCTTTAAACCTCTATTGATTAAAATTAATTAGGAAACCTGACGATGAATTCAAATAGGATGTTTATCCTGATTATAGGAAAATTACATGATATGATTTATTATTCCCACTACTAATATATAATCCCTGAGATATCCCTGTCCACATTACCATGTCTATGTATACCATGTATATTATCCGAATTGAAGCTCAAATATAAAAAGTACTTTCAAAACAAGGCGATAAGAACCATCCTGGGAGGTTAAACAGTGAGAATTTTTCATTTGTCATATTGTTGTCTTTCTTTTTCTGTCTGTAGTTGTATTTTGCCATGGACCTAAGATTTCATTTAAAAATGTTCAGCAGTAGCAACTTGTAAAAACCCTGAAGGATTGTACTCCTGCAATGTTTAGGAAATGTCCCTGACTGGTGGCATGTGGGGGTGCAGATGTTTGCAACATTTGTTTGTGATTTCTTTATCGACATTTTCAATACATCCCCCTAGTCTCCAGATTATTACCGAGTTTGAAAGCGTGCAAGAGAGCGCTCTCTGCTGACCTGTATATTGAGTTCCTCTCGCTGTTGTGTACACTTATGAATGCAAGCTGTTTTGATGTCTATACAAGGAATCTTGTTGTAAAGAAAACCCTTACTTTTCTGCTGACTAATTTATTGACCCCCGCTGCTTTCCGTGCACTCTGGATAGCCATTCCCCCACACCCTAACCCTCCAATATCTGGCTGTGCGAGCACATCTCAAGCAGAAAAGCTCCTGCTGTGAAGCACAAGTGTGAACAGCAATGGCAGAAAAAGCTCAGAGCACCTTGTTCACTCTTTCTCATGAAGGTTTCCCCGTCTTTATTGGTGAAGAAAGCCACAGCATCACAGACATTCCTCATTTTCAGGTGACATCTCCATTCAGTGGATCTGTTTGCTGGCTTCCCAGAATTCCTTTAACATGTTACATGCTGCCTAGTAGTGAGGAGGCTAATGTCATGAACGGCATTGAAGAGTACATAAGACAATTAGAGAAAAAAGAGTACCCGATTCTTGTTCTGTATGTCCATCTTGGGTAGCTCAAACCACTCTGACCTGACAACGACAGGCCCTATATGGGTGCCTTATTACGTCTGACACAGAGACAGTAGCCTGTCTTTTCAATTCTGTTAGTTTTGGAAAAAACAGCACTTTGGTAGGTTATACATCCATTCATCCATTATAATAACTGCTTATTCCCTAATGGGATCGCGGGGGGGGGGCTGGAGCCTATCCCAGTGGTCAACGGGCGAGAGGCGGGGTACACCCTGGAGAGTCCGCTAGTCCCTCGCAGGCACACACAGAGACACACAAGGACGAACAACCACGCACACTCACTCCTAAGGGCAATTTGGAATGTCCAATCAACCTTACATGCAGGTTTTTGGACAGTGGGAGGAAGCCGGAGAATAAGTTATACGTATTCCTGGATTTAACAAGTGCTCAGAGGTTTTGTGCTCATAATTGTGTCACTATATCTGAGCATTTTGAGGAAAAGTAGCCAAAGTTATAACGCCTCATTTAGCTTAATTTATAAAATATGGAGTACCTCTCAGTTTTATATCAGTTCTGTTAGACTAAAAAAAATACTAATTTGGGCACAAAAACTTGCAAAAAGATTGTTGTGGCAATTACGACTTTATCAAGGGAGAATCAATCCACATACAGGAAAGAAGCACCATATTACCATAAAATGAATTCTTTTCATCGCACTAAAATCATTTTTAAAGATGGTCAGGGTAAAATAGCAAAGGGTATATGTCTTATTAGTTTAGCTTTTTCAGTGTAGTCATGCCGAAGTAGTAAGTTGCAGTATAGCCTAATAAACTTGCTCTATGTCCTGCTTGAATGTTCTTTTTGAACAAACACATTTTGAATTCAGCTCTTGGCACTTTAGCTGCTGTGGAAGCATCTTTTTGCATGAAACCTTTCCCTGTGTTGTCTCCTCTTGTTCCTCTCATGAAGTATTTCCTCTCCCACTCCCCTACCCCGTCTATCTGATGCTTCTTCATTTAGCATTTTCATGCCCCCTTTCTCATGTTGAGCCTATCATTTCATCTTGCCCTTCTATCTCACTCTTTTGCCTTTTTATTATTTCACTTGTTTGCTTTGAAGTTCTAAACAATGAGAGAGCCTCACTGCCTGGTAAGCTCATAGTGAAATCCAGGCTCAAACTGCAAGGCAGAGCGATGTACGGCAGAATCCAGCCCTCAGAAGCACAGAAGGGTGTAAGTAAAGTGTGCGGGCAGCATCACGAGCACACTCAGTAGTCATTGTTCTTACAATGACACCGAACGCACAGATTCTTGATGCTCCAAGCCGTCACCAGACTGCATTAGTATCTTGGTTTATAAAAGCTGTGACTCACATTTAGAGATGTTGCCTGCCTGCCTTTGTTGCCCCAGCAGCTGGACCCTGACAACAGCCTCTTTCTTCACATGATGTAAGGGACTATGTTGGGTGTAATTGGGGAGATGCTATTGACTACAATAATTAAGTTAACAATTTATTTTTCACTTCCTTTCCAGTGAAGTGAAGGACAATTATATGTCCTTCTATAGTCTTGGTCTTCCCCCTGCTGCCCTTTTCTCTCCCATGCAGCTGCAGACACATCCACGCGGTGATGAATATAACTCATTACATTAGAAAGGAATTGGAAATGAAGTAAAATTAGCACTCCGTGACTGAGGCATATACTATCATCTGCTAAGGCATCTGAGACGCGTGATTATCCACTCCCACATGGTTTCTTGAGGCTGTGTTACATAGTTACTCATACTGTACACACCTCACTCTGAAACCTTCAGGGTTTCTCTCCTCTGCAGTCTTTTTTTTCTGTCTGACATGCATATCTGTGAATGCCAGCAGCGTGTGATGTTTCTTTGTATTACCCCTTTTTAATACATTTTCTGTGTCACAGTCAAAGTTCTGAAATTCATACAACCCAGTGCATTCACAGGCTGTGTCTGACTTCACATGAGAAATCATACAACCTTATTGGTTCATATTTCTATGTATATATACTTACATGTACATGCATACATGGCGAGAGTACTCAGAAAGGCATGACCGGACTAATTATATATGTATATATTTTTGCTTGGAGTGAATAAAAAAACAATGTTCTCAAAGATTCTTATAAATGAGAAGCTCCAGACCAAGCTGACAAAAAATGTTGAGGAAAATCGGACGCACGTGAATACTATGGATTTGTGTTTCGTCTTACAGCAATTCAGAGCAATGCTCAAAACTGCAGGCTCACAAAACAATGGAAATTTTGTAGAAACGATTGAATTAATTACAAGACAGTCCATTAATTGCAAAGAAATGCCTCAAGCAACATCAAGTATATCAGTGACACAATTAAAAATTTTGATTTTCGAGTCCCCGTTAGATATGGTTAGTAAATCCATAACAGAAGTTAAGGAGAGCAAGTTCTTTTTTCTTTTTTTCTGGTATTGAGATTAAAGAACTGTCAATAGTGCTAAGGTACGGTTACAATGATGCAGATCATGAGAGCTCATTTGATTTGCAAAGACCCAGTGAATGAGATGCTCAGGACTCAGGAAATAACACAGTGTTTACAATGATATGGCATTGATTACAAGTCTAACCTTTTAGGTCAAGGCTGAGGCAGAAGCTATGTTAGGAAGATGCACAGGGTTTGCAATAAGGATCAAAGCAGAGGCTTGTTAAGTTTAGTTCACTAAACAGTGATAATATCTGTGAATGCAGATAGACCTGATGTTGGGAACATTGGTTGTATTCAGAAAGATCCTTGGTGCTGTTAGGTATGTCTCTTACATGGTTCAAGCAGCATCACTTGACCTGGTATGGGCTGTGGACTTGATCCAGACCTTGCCAGAGACTTTCGAGAACTGTAAAGCTGGTTCTTGTTTTTACATGATCTTTGGCAGCACACTGTGGAGACTGCAAAGCTATTTTAAGTTCCAGTCCAGGCTGTTGAGAAAAGGACATAGAGGAAGAGTTTTATACTTCGTGGGTGTATAGCAGAGTCCAGGTCAATGCAGATGCAAGGAAGACAACAAAGATAAATTCATTATTGATGTTTCTCTCCATCCTGGAGTGTTTGAAGGCACAACTTCCGATGCCTTATGGGCCTTGATGAGCTTTATCAGGGACAGAAGGCCATGCAGAGAAAGGTACAGTGCAGGACCGAAGTGTCCGGTATACTGTATTTTCACAGCTTTACCTAACTGTACAAAAAGGGTTTTCATCATCTTTTTACTTTTCTGGTGAGCATTGGCAGTTACCAGTGCAGCTTTTACACGTTACGCTAATGCAAAAGTTGTTTGCTTACAACAACCAATAATGACAGGCTTAGCGACATTGGAGTGTTCGGGATTCAAAGGAACAGGGCAAAGTCAATAAACTATGACTTAGTTAAACGCTTTGCCCCACTGCACCAAAAAAGTCACATAAAATTGTCATAATCCCCAACATATGTAAATATACATACAGGACATGTAAATTGTAAATTATATTGTGACTTTTAGCT